AGTATTTGTTATTGTAACCCCCATCTTATACGCTACAGTACTAATGTCTAAGTCCCCCTCGTTACAAGATGAAGAAGCTAGGAAATTCAAAAATCAAAGAATTTGAAAAATACTTATGAAGTTGAACAATAAAATTACTGGAGAAAAGTAGCCGAAGTTCGTGGAAGTGATCGGAGGAATCTCAATAAAGTTGAAGAACAAGAGAGTTTTTGAGAATTTAATTGTTTTTGTTCGCAAAAGCAAAATGATTTTCACAAAAAATCATTGTTTTTTTATAGGCGGAGGTTATCAACCTCAGCCATGGATCACGATCCTAACAATTCAACCATTCATTTAAGATTCGGTCTGAGCCATCCATCACATTTGTCGCTTCGTATTCTACGTTCCAGATCAGGGCATCAGTATCACGTTCGCCATTGCGTCTGTCTCCTATGTAACACGACTGCAGCAATCATCATTGCTCATTAAATGCGGCGACGATTGCGTGTATGAAAAATTGAACCGCTTCAGCTATCTTTTCTTGAAAACGTATAACACAACAAATCATTTGGGAGCAATAATTAAGGACGCATCGTATTCCTAAAGTTTCAAAAAACATGCATCTTCAGAATTAATGCATTACAGCCTCAGCAAATAGTAGAGATACACTACCTTAGCCTTGATATGAAAAACTTCGATAGGTTTCAGATATACGAAGTCACTTATGAGCAGACAACCTCAGATAAAAGGACATCAACTGGTGCTCCCCAAATTTTTCCAAACAATCGAAAACTCCAAAGTACACACTTGGAACAAAACCTTCGATGAGTACTTCAAGCAATTCATAATAGTTCTATTTTCAAATTCTAATTATAATACGAATATTTATATTTAGATTTGTGATACTATTGTGGTGTTGTAAAATAACCACCCTAATAAAAGTTTTGTTTTTATAAAAGAGGATCATGCATTACATAAAAAATCATGCATAGACTTGGGGGACTATTATTACGCCTCGTCACCGAGGCTCCTAGTGGGGACCACGTCGTAGTTCACGTGGAGACATGAGTCAGATTTGACAAAGTCAACAAAAATTCAATTGATCAAAATAAAGAACTTAAAGAAGAAGTTGATGCCCTTTGTTCCGAAGTTCCTTTTAGTAGAAGCCCTCGCTCCATCCGAAACTCCCTTTGGCCGAAGCACTTGCCCTATCCGAAACTCCTTTTAGGCTGAAACATTTGCTGTCTTTCAGAGAATTTGCAGGCTATCTCTAGGATTGATTGATGTAATGTTTATAATAATGAATGTTAGAATTGTCGACCTAGCCGAGGGTATAGGGTGGCTTAGGGTGTTTAGTGGCTGACATGTTGTGGATATATTAAATGCGTAGCAGACTGAGTGATGTGAGGCTTCGACCTGGGAGATGAGGCCATGTAATTCCATCCAACGGCAATTATATCGGCCGAATCTCTATAAATAAGCAACTCTTGTAACATTTGTTTCTAATGCAACTCTTTGCACTTGAAAACACACTCGACTTTCTCTATTGCTCATTCTATATTTATCTGTTTGAGTTAATTTTGTTTTTAGTTTGGTGGAGTTGTTTATGATTGCTTGTTTGTTTTGCAATCATCTTTGATCATACTACTGATGTTTGAACATTTTTGTTCGCGTCGTAAAGCATCTCTCATATTCATAAACGCCACCTTTCTCCGTTCGGATCTCCGATCAAAACGTGTTAAAATTTGTTTGCGTGAATGCTAGTGGGGCCGACATCTGTTATTCATGTAACCATTACAGAAAACGAGGTCAACAATGAATATTTTATCTAAAACAAGTAGTTACATCATCGTACCCCCAGAGTAGGCCAACGATTGAAGGAGAAAAAGGTTGACCAAGCTAATTCTTGATGGTTTTTCTTCATTAACTCCACTTCCTATCACTTGCTGCCTTGCAAAAGGCTGGACCAAGCTAATTCTCTACAATTATCTGTTTTTTAGTTTCTAGATGGATAGTGTCGTGGATCCTTCCAAATTTCCACCACAAGAAAGAGTGTGACAAAGAAGAGGTTAGCGTGGCAAAAGAAGAGTCCATTTTGGCCTTTAGGAATCCAATTTCTTGTTTTCTACCTCTTTCTTCAATCATCACGCGCAAATGAATAAATAAATTAATTCTGTTTATTATTTTAAAAAAATTCGTGATTGGTGCATGTAAGCACAAACCAACCACAAGATGTGCACCGGGTGATGGTGCAGTGTAGGGACCCTTCTTCCACCTGTCTCAATTTATTGATTCGAAGTCTACTTTCTTGAATTCATTAGTTATTTATACAAAGAGAAGGCTTTACAAAGTAAGGCTATAAAATTGTCATGGGCCACCATTACTGAAATCAATCAATTTGCTTCTAAAGGCGCCCCATAAAAACCTTCATCAGTCAATTTTAGCAATTGCATTATTGTACTCGTCGGAGTTACGAGCTGTGCAATTAACGTGACTGTCCAAATATACATATAACATACAAATGAACGGGAGAAGAGTAGAAATCTGTTGATAACTGGGTTTCACCAGATTCAAAGATCAACATATAGTTTAGTTCGTTTTATTCTAAAATCTTTTATGTTGTTGACAGTTATCAGCTTTTTAATAATGCGATTGTTAAAATAAAATAAAAAATTGAATTTATTTCCTAAATCGCTATCAAAGAAACGAGCTCTACCCCCACTAACACTTCATATGTCCACGTTACAATCTTTTTGACCCTACAAGGTCTAAAGAGCTATGTTACTAGTTATGAAATTGTTCGTCGCCACAAAAATAAATAAGTGAAACTAAGAAAGAAAATAAAAAGTATCCCATTGTTTCAAAATTATTTTAAAGGTGTGTTTGAGTCAAATTATTTTGGAAGAATATATTTTGAAATAGTAGATTGATAGAGAATGTGTGATTGAAAAATAAGGAAAAGTTATTGATGTAATGGAAAAATATTATTTTATTGAAAAATGTGTGATTGAAAATGAATAGAAAAATAGAAATGAAAATTTTAATTCGACTCAATCGGGGTTAAATGTAATTGCTTGTTTGAGCTTTTATCAAATGGCTTGCACAGAATCTTGCTTTTCATCTATTAGGTTAATATTATTGTTGTCAAAGAAAAAAAATTATCATCAACAAATGTTAATAAAAAGGCAATTCCATGTGGCACTTCATGACATTATTGATAGGGTAGTGCTATTTAACCCTCTTGACATTCATTAAATCAATTTTTTTCTCAAATTCATTTTTAACCATATTCACATAACAGAATATTTTACACGTAAATTTAAAATTATTTTCTACTTTTTAACTACACATTTTTCAAAAAATCACTATTTCAATTATTTTTTAAAGCTCATTTTAATTGATGTTAAACAAGAGCTTAGTTTCAGTAGTACAAAGCACCATTCTAAGCGTTGTGAGCAGTGTTTTGAAAATCGTTCTGAGCATGACTCGGAAAAGATAAAGGGTCGGGGTCAAAAGGTTCAACTGGGTTGAATCGGATGCAATACATAATTAAATAAATAAATACTCAATACTTTAAAAACTAAAAATCAATATGTTAAAATAGTTTGAGTCTATAGAAAATTATATCTTACATTATTGAGTTAATAATGGAATGCATTTTAATTTAAATATAAAAATTAAATAAATGAAAAGATGGAGATGAATATTATAATTTCGGTCATTTAGACATACATTTGAAAAATGGTTTTGATGGGCAAATTAATCATTGTTTTGCTATTTCACCATCGCACATCGAAAGTCTATACTACCATTTGAGAGAAGTGCATCTCTAAAAGAAGTATGTCATCCGTGATTCCCTTATGTTGATTGTAAAGCACAAGCCAATTAATGAAGTTAAAAATTTTTAATTAAAAATGGTAAAATTGGTCCCAGTTCAACGATTTACGGTTAGATCGGTCGATTTAGCGGGATATGATTGACCCGATTTTGGATTTGGTTCTCAATCTAGCAATTGAAATGGCTAGAACAGTCTGGGCGCTTTTAATATCAAATTTATAGAAATAGGGCAGTGAAATAAAATTTTATATATTAGAAGCTCACTCTCTGAAATAGAGTCTGGTGTCATCAACTTGCATTGAAGAAGAATTTTTTTTTAAAAAATTTATTTTAATTTGTGTGACACAATTTTTTAAATAATTGTATGCTCTAAATAATATTTATTTTATGTAATAAAAATATGAGAAAAAATCAATATTAAAGGAAAAGGAGGAGAAGGAAAATATGAACAGCGGTGGAAAGAAATAAAAAGGGAAGGAGATGACATGGCGCGAACTCTCTTTTCGACCCACTTCAACATTTCTTTTCATTTATACACAATCCTCGTAACATTCAATTAATCGTACACATATTCTTCGAATCTCTCTGTTTTTTTAAAGATCTTTTGAGGAAAAACCCATATACAATTCACCAATATCCTCGTTTTAATCTCTATCAATTGGCAGCTTCCGATTCCTAACAAGGTCCGTTGCAAATACAGGTTTTATGCATTTTTATTCAAGGTGTTTTTTAGGCTTGAAATTTTAAGGCTTATTTTTACAAATGCATGTGTTATGATTACGTGTTGATAATGGGTTGTTGAGAATGATTTTTTTTTTTTTTTGGCTTAGAATCACGTGCCATGGATAGTTCTTAATCTTTCACTATTTCAATTTTCATCTTTTTTTTTTTGTTGATTTAGCATTTCAATTTTCCTTCCTTTGCATTCTTCTCATTTACATTAAGATCTGGTCTTCATAGATTTATAAAGAGAAACAGAAAGCAAAATTCTATATTTCAATTTCTGTAATCTGGGAATTCTTGGTGTTTGTGTGATTTTTGACAGTTTACACTCCTATATAAGTTTTTCAATTTTGTTTCGTGCATAGCGTGCATAACTCAGATAGTTATTCATGAGAACGTTTACTTAGGCAATTGCGTCTTATTAATTATGGGATTACACTTTTGTTTAGCAGAAGTAAGCAATGGCCACCAGCATAGCATCGGGAAATGGCCGTCTGCATCTTAGAGAAAGTGTATACAGGGGACAGGGTTGTAGAGGAGCCTATTTTGTTTCCGGTATTGGCATCCCAAAATGCATCCAAAAAGATCTTTCTTGGTATTGTTACAAAGACCTGTGTTACAATTTTTTTTTGATTGAGCTAAAGAGGAACAACAAAAGATTGGTTCTCTAATAACGTTAGTTTGGGTTTGTTGGTTTATACCAATGAAACAACTTATAGTCGCCAGTTTTTGAAGGAAAATTTGTTAATCTATTCCAATACTTCTCAGTGTTCAGCTTATTAATTTGTTTTGCATAATCTCCCAGTCCTCCCTCTATTGTTTATTTTCCGAAAAGAAATCAAGATCATACCATTCCATGTTCAGTTTCTCTGTTTGCAAAGATTGATCATAGCTCTTGACAATTTGTTTTCCTTTCTACGATCTCTACTGCAAGATTTAAGAATTACTTTTCAGGCAGCAATTCATGTTGGGGTCTGAAATTAAATAAGAAAACATATCCGTGCACTAACAACTTACCTTTCAGATGAGGTTATTCTTTTGAAAATTTATGCACGTGTAAGCACTTATAAAAAAAAATATCAGCGAAAGCACGTGGGCGAAAAGACTATGAGTGTTTGGTGTGTGTGTGTGTGTATATATATATATATATATATTTTTTTTTTTTTAATAACCGTGGATGTCCAGCCCAACTTGCGGGCACCTCGACTGATCCCACGGGACCCTGAAGTTTACGGTCGAGTACTCACCTCAGTGGCTTTGAAGGGACTCGAACTGGAGAGAATGCATTTTTTTGAATTGAAGTGATGTGATGGGTAATATCTTGTTGAAAAAGAAGGAAAAATTATTGATGTGATGGCACATATTATTTTATTGAAGAATGTGTGGTTGAAAATGAATAGAAGAGTCTGTTTGGTAGGGATTTTTGGGGGAAAAATTGATTTTTGAATAGTGATATGATAGGAAATGTGTGGTTAAAAAAGAAAAAAAATTATTGATATGACGGAAAATATTATTTTATTGAAAAATGTGTGGTTGAATAAAAAAGAAAAATTATTGATGTGATAGAAAATATTATTTTATTAAAGAATATATAGTTGAAAATGAGTAGAAGAATGAAAATGAAAATTTTAATGTGGCTCAAACAGGGGCTATAAATTTAAAAAAATAAATTGTACCTTCTCTAAACTACTTGTACTTTTAGATGAGACGGTTCAATAATTCACACTACTTGCTAGCATTCGTTAACACTATATCACTACAGATTGTGGATTTTCTTTTTAAAACTTACATCAGTTCATGTTTCATTTCTTAGGTCTCACGGGGTTCCCAATATCTTGCGGATTCATACAAGTAACCATTTCCAATCTCTGGCTAATGAGAGTCAACATAGGCACCACAGAACAGCAATCACATCGTGCTCGAGAGATGGTTCTACAAAGTATTTTGATTTTGCTGTTATTGGTAGTGGAGTAGCAGGCCTTAGGTATGCTCTCGAGGTTGCAAAACATGGAACTGTTGCAGTGATAACTAAGGCCGAGTCCCATGAGAGCAACACCAATTATGCACAGGGTGGCATAAGTGCTGTATTGTGCCCATCAGATTCAGTAGAGAGTCACGTATTGGATACAATAGTGGCTGGAGCTTACCTATGTGATGAGGAGACCGTTCGAGTAAGTTGTCCAATCAAGTCCTTTTCATTCTTCTTTAGTTTAAAATTCGTGTGAAAACAAACAATGACATTTCCGACGGAGTATGCCATCTTAGAATTGATTCAACAAAAAAATAAAAAAATAAATTCAAATGATGTGAAAGAAAGCTTTTGAACTGTGATGAATTAAGCTCCAGTCCCAACTATGAGAGCAACAGCCAAAAAAAATAAAAAACCCAGAAGCATGTAAAACATGCACACAGATTTGTAACATGGGTGACCTGTATGGACTATCCAATATTAGGTAGGTTGATAAGTGGTTGAGAGAATAAATGAGCAGTACCATTAGGCTTCACACCGTCGAACAGGAAAGAAGTTATTCCCAACATGAATGTATAATTGATTTTGTGTAATAAATCAAGATCAGCCATTAAAAATTTCATACACCTTCGACATTGGAGCATTTCCTCATCTTCTCATTGTCTAAAAACGGCATATATTCACTTATTTCAGATTTTTCAGTTTTCACAAGCTTGGCTATATTTTCCAGGTAGTGTGCACCGAGGGACCTGAGAGAATCAGAGAATTGATTGCTATGGGTGCTTCTTTCGATCACGGGGAGGACGGAAATTTGCACCTGGCTAGGGAAGGGGGCCACTCTCATCGTAGAATTGTGCATGCTGCGGATATGACAGGAAGAGAAATAGAGAGGGCACTCTTAGAGGCAGTACGGAAGGATCCTAATATTTTTGTATTCGAGCACCACTTTGCAATAGATTTGCTGTCTTCTCAGGTCTGGTCATGTCATTCCTAACTTGTTTAGTCAAATGTTAATTTCAAATTGAATGCAATGGTTCTGACACGTTTTGCACAGAAAATGTTATTCACTAAGGCCCTGTTTGATAGGGCATTATTTTCCATGGAAAATGGAAAACAAATTCCAACTTCCACTTTTGCCTTGTTTGATGCACTTTATTTTCCACGAAAATTTTTTTCCACCTTTGGTTCGCATGCTCACCAATTCCTTGGTTTTGTGGAAAACTAATTTCCACCATTTTGGTGGGAATTGATTTTCCATCTTTTTTTTCTAAGCAATTGGAAATTTTTTTTAGATATAATGTTAAAAAATTTATCACTTTTATTGACAATTTTCATACAAAACAAAGTCAAACGAATGATATTTGGTATGGTAATTTTTTTTAAAAAAAAAAATTTTAATTTTTTTTTTTGGCAGGTGAAACAAATTCTAGACCCAATGATAAAAGAAATTATCACTTTAATGGACAATTTTCATAAAAAAGAAAGCCAAACGGACACCAAACTTTCAACATTTTCCAGGTGGAAAATTATACAAGTCAAATACAATTAATTACAATTTCCAGTAAAACAATTTTTAGGCAATTCAATTCCCTAGAATTCATTTTCTTTCCACCCATTTTTCACCTTTGCAATCAAACGGATCCTAATATAATCATGTATGCTAGAGTACAGGATGGTTCTAACACGATTTGTCATGGCGTGGACACTTTGAATACCGAAACACATGAGGTATGAGAGTGATTGTAGTCCATATAATTTCTCCCTTTTTCTTTAAATATATTTAGGATCAACTCATGAAAGGACTGTAATATTAACAGACTTCCTTCATTTCTCTCATTTGAACTTTTAGGTGGTCAGATTCATCTCAAAGATAACTTTACTCGCATCAGGAGGGGCCGGACATATCTATCCAATTACTACAAACCCCCTGGTATGATCTTGCTTTCTTTTTCCTAGAAGTAGTTTCTTTGTGCAAATGTATCTACTGATGCATTTCTTTGTTCCTTTTTTAATCAAATTATATGTTGCCATCTTTAAATGTAGTAGGCCTAAAACTCAAAAAAGCTGCATACACAAAAAATCTGATGTGATGTAAATTATAACATTTTTAGATTTTAATAACCAGTTAAGAATTATCTACCATCTTCTCATTCACATTACCACTTAGCTGTCTTCCTTTCCGGAATCACCTGTCTGGATGGCTCCTATACTTGTTTTAGTTTTGTTCAGCCCATTAGAAGAACCCGCAGAAAACAATGTTTGGAGCATTGGATAGCAATCTAAATCAGTAGCATCATTTGTAAAACATTATTCTCTTAGTACATGTTTGGTACAAAGTGCTGAAATGAAGGACACGATTTTAACCTGTACATGTTTGTGCATGCTTGAAAGCACCTTAAAAGCTGCCTTTTTCCGACAGCAACACTTTTGTTGCTGTCCGATGCCATTCAATAAAGCTATCACGTTTAAACATTCTCTTACTCTTAGTACTATCCAATACTCTACGGTCCATCTTATCAAACAAGCCATTAGTGTATTGTCTTCAAATTGAACGATTATAGATTTACTTATTTATAAACTGCTTTGTTTTGAGTCAACCTTGATATGATATTGCAGGTCGCCACTGGAGATGGAGTAGCTATGGCTCACCGAGCTCAAGCTGTAATCTCCAACATGGAGTAAGTTTTTCAAATAGGGGTCCTTTATGGGGTGGTATGTCATGTAAATGAAGGGTTTCTGTAACCTGGCATAAGAAATAATTGCTTTCTGTTTTTATCAATTTAAATATGCTGAAGGATTTCATTACTAACGTCTGTGAATAATTTTGCTCTCAGGTTTGTGCAGTTCCACCCGACTGCTCTAGCTGATGAAGGCCTCCCCATTAGACCAACCAAAGCTCGTGAAAATGCCTTTCTGATAACTGAAGCAGTAAGGGGCGATGGAGGCATCCTCTACAATTTAGAAATGGAGAGATTTATGCCCTCGTACGATGAGAGGGCAGAGCTTGCTCCAAGGGATGTCGTGGCGAGAAGTATAGACGATCAGCTCAAGCAACGTAAAGAAAATTATGTGCTTCTTGACATTAGTCACAAGTCCAGAGAAAAAATTCTATCCCATTTCCCTAACATAGCTGCTGAATGTATGAGGTATGGCCTAGACATAACTCGAAAGCCGATTCCAGTTGTTCCGGCTGCTCATTACATGTGTGGTGGAGTTCGAGCTGGGCTGCAAGGGGAGACAAATGTCCAAGGTCTCTATGTGGCCGGTGAAGTTGCATGTACTGGCTTGCATGGTGCAAACAGACTAGCTAGCAACTCATTACTCGAGGCACTTGTGTTTGCCCGAAGAGCCGTGCAGCCATCAATTGATCACACAAAGAGTTCTTGTATTGATCACAGCGCTTCCCATTGGTGGCCTCGACCTACAATGCCTAAATCACTCGGGAACACTGTACTGAGCAATATCATCCATAGGACGAGGGAAGTGAGGGACGAGTTGCAATCAATCATGTGGGAGTACGTTGGAATTGTTCGATCAACGACAAGACTGCAAACTGCAGAGAGGAGGATCGGGGAATTGGAATTGGAATGGGAAACATACTTATTTCAACAGGGGTGGGAACCAACAATGGTATGTCTTGAAGCTTGTGAAATGAGGAACCTGTTTTGTTGTGCCAAACTGGTCGTAAGCAGTGCTCTCGCAAGGCACGAAAGCCGAGGGCTTCATTACACCATTGATTTTCCACATTTGGAGGAAAGCAAAAGGCTGCCTACAATTATACTTCCCACTTCATTCGTAAGTAATACATGGAGCTCCAGACAACTACACAGGCAGCAAATATGTTTCAAGTCAGTAGTTCCTACCAAAATTTCTATTTAATTTGAGTAAAAATTTTAACATTTTGTTCGAAGTTTTTTAGCTAAATTCAACTGTACATATACTAAATTCACACAAATATTTTCACATTTGATGGTAAAATATGGTTTTAGATGCTGCTGCATTGGCTTCTGAACTTGTTTTTATATTTTTGGGTGAAGTTCCACATTTTGTTACGATTATGATGGTACATCACATCTTATGCACCATTTTATAGCTAAATGGTAATTTGTTGGCAAATTGCCTCACATTAGCAGGTTACAGTAATATTGTGTAGTGACATGAGTTTATTACAATCGTTTGACAATGAATAAATAAATTATATCTATAGTACAGAGGTTGGATACATAACTAGATTACAGAAGAATGGAAATAAGAAAAGAAATTAAAGAGAAAAGGTTACAGGGTTGGAATTCTTGAACAACAATTGCAAGAACTTGACGCATCCTTAAAATGATGAAATCTATTTGCATCTCTCAAAATAGTCTTATGATGACCTGTGACTTTTGCTATTAGTTTGATGGCAGTGTCGCAATCGCCACAAATCCTCAGGTTTTTCATATCCCGTAAGGGCACTCCTTGAAGCAACTTCAGAAGTTCATAGGCCACTGCTAGCTTCTCGCTATGATATACCGCCTTTTCTTCTTCCTCCACATTGTGTAAAGGCGCCATCAAGATTACATCCAACTTTTCCTAATTGTCAACTTAAGTTCTCCAGCATTTTAACAATCATAAAATGCTCGGGATGAGGTGTGCTCGAACCACCAGTGAAATTATGCACCTTCTTCTCCACCTCAATCCAGCAACAGTAGGGAGACTTGGTCACTTTCCTAAATTGCACGTGTTTTCCTCAGCCGGGCAACATAAGACCATTTGCATTTTGATGCGATGTTTGATAGCTTGTATAAGGTCCAGCATTTCTAGGCTGGAGCTGTAGAAGTTTCTTTGCTGCTACTTCAGCCAAATTCAAGTTTCCTGCGTGTCCTACATGCACCCATTATACAACCCCCAAAAAATTGCTTCTGCCTCCATTGGCATGACGTTAATTAGATCCATAGCCTCACTAAGCCCCAAGAAATCAGCCATGCAACCATGGTTTCCTTCCCTTCTTCGACTAGTCAAGAATAACTACAGGCCGAGAGAACTCCAACAAAGTAACGTCATTTACAGCAATGCCTGAAGAACACATCTCCTGAGACACTTGTAGAGTCTCTCTTCCCAAACCGTGTTGTGCATAACCTGTTATCATAGAATTTCACATCACTATGTCTTTATGCAGAAACCTATCAAACACTCTTTTGGGGGCAACAAGATCACCACATTCGTGTACATTGTGATCAAAACTGACAAAACATGTACATCAGCGAATTTGGACCTTAAACGTCTGGGCATGAATCTGTTTACCACAAACAGAAAGAATGCTGATTAATGAAGGGAAATGCAGCCTAATTCCTTGTGTCTGCATTGAACGAAACAAAATAAGAGCCTCGAATTCAAAACCTTTCCATACATATATCTTAATCATCGCACTCTATTTTCCATCATCCTTCCCTTTCGTTGAATCAAAAATTCTCCTTGCTTTGGCAACCTCCCCATTCTAGCCCAACACAAGTACCATCACATTACAAGCAAAAACAGGTTTAACTGGCATAGCATCAAAAAGCTCACGAGTCCTCCCACACTGCGTGTGCCCCATAACCATTGCCGTCCAATTGACCTCATTCTTTCCAGGCATCACCTCGAGAAGTTTCCTCACAACATCCACCTTCCCATTCTTAGCACAACCTGAGATGAGATTATTGTAGTCCGACAAACCATATTTCTGCAGTGTACTGTCAAAAATCTCCCGTGCCTCATCCAACCGACCCTCCAGACATAGCCTACCTAACATACTATAAAGTCTCTTATCCTCATCAATTCTACGCTCACGGATCAATCCATCTAACATCACCGTCCATGAAACCACATACTTTTCTGGCATTCGCCAAGACAAAGCTTCTGCCTCCGATCCTCAACATAACCTCTAACCATGGCTGCCCATGACACCACATTTCTTTAAGGCATTATATCAAATATCTTTCTAGCTTCCTTTACCGTCACATTTTTTATATAGCCAGAAATTAATCCATTCAAAGAAATCGTGTCTCTCTGGCATTTGATCAAACAAACGTTGGGCGTCTTGGGTTGGTGGTTTTGAAAGTAGCTTGAAACGTTAATCGAACAGTTTCCGAGCACCATCATAATTGGCTTAAATCACACACAAAAAATCACTTCATGAATTCGAACAAGAGTTATATATTTCAACACTCACCCAACTTCGGATATGGTCCCAGATTAGTGCTTCTCATTGATCACTCAACTTTAGAGTGTTGAACTGGTCACCCATCCAACTTTGGGGTGTTGTCATTGACTGAACTTCAAAATGCTTTTCCTCTGTCAGTCAACTTTAGAGCGCTGCACTCCTTCACTCTCTGGAGAGTTAAATGTTTCAACACTCACTCAATTTTGGGTGTGAATACGAATTTTAGAATGCTTCCCATTAATCATTCAACTTTAGGGCGTTACATTTCAACACCCGCACAATTTTGGATTTGCTCATGTCACTCGTCGAACTTCAAAATGTTTATTTTTTTTAATAGCTCTCACCGAACTTCAAAATATTTATTTTTTTAATAGCTCAAATTCATCTTACGAATCAAATATTATTAAACAATTTCTATATGATTATATCATTGGAAAAAAATTAAGACATATTACTCTTTTCAAGTTCTTGAGTTATGCAATTCGATATATTATTATTTATTTCAAATCTTCTAACGTTATCCAGGTCATGGGTGATCTTAAACCCTTATTTATTTATTTAGTTATCAAGTCGAAAACTTTAATTTAAAAATAGGTCTTCTATGTGGTTTTGGCTATTTTGAACAATAATGGAGAGTGGATCAAAGGAATGTGAGGGACAAATCAATATGTCATTGTATTATATCAACAAGTTTAAGAAATCTTTAATATTATACAATGGAAAGCATTCTGAAGTTCAGTGAATAACCCGTAACCACACCTAAAATTGGGTGAGAGTAGAAATATTTAACTCTTCGAATTCCGTGTTCAGCACTAAAGCTTGGAGGGAAAAATTTATGGTTCAGGGATTTACTTTTAGAAAATTAAAAATCAGGTCCCAAAGTTTTAAATTACAAAACTCAAGTTTTTTCATTAATTTATTAATTATATTTTACAATTAATCTATTAAACTAACTATTTAACTATAATATAATATGATTAACCCATTCCACCCCACCTCCACCACCCCACTGCTCCGGTGACTATTTCGGTGGCCGACGGCTACTCCGGCAACTACTTTCCGGCCGCACTTAATTTCAGCGACTATTTCGATGAATTCTCGGATATCGAGGTCACAGATATCTTATTAAGGTCACAGTTAGCTTAATTCAGAAAACTGTTCCAATTCCGAGGTCACAGAGATCTTATTAAGGTCACAGTTAACTTCATTAGTCACTCATCAAAAAAAAATTATAAGGTCACGGATATCTTATTAATGTCACAATTAACTTCATTAGTCACTCATAAAAAAAAAATTATAAGGTCACAGTTAACTTAATTCAGATAACTGCTCCAATTCTGAGATCACATATATCTTATTGAGGTCACATATAACTTACTGAGGTCACAGTTAGCTTAATTCAGATAACTGCTCCGATTCCGAGGTTACATATATCTTATGAAGGTCAAAGTTAACTTCATTATTCACAACAATAACAAAAAACGACGACCCCCACCACCACTACACAGACCGCCACCACAAATCCATACCAAGTTTATCATCATCGCACGAACACAAACCGTTCAGTTCACAACAGCGCTTGACGCTGCTGTGACGGGCAGCGCGCACGAAGGGAATAGGGGAGAAGGGGAGAGAAGGGGGTTGCTGTGGATGGAGGGAGAAAGGGGGGAAAAGGGGGAGGAGGAGACGACGGAGAAGGGGCAGGAAGGAGAGGGTGAAGGAGAGGAGGAGGAGAGAGGCGTCGGGCACGATAATGAAGGGGGAAGAGACGGATTTTGTCAATTTAGGGTTTGGAATTTTCAAATTTGGTGGGTGGGTGGGTTATAGGGTGGGTGTAATTTAATTTTATAATATCATAATTAATCAAAATAATAAAAACCTGAAAATTGAATAAATAAAGTTGAAACCTGATTTTTTAAAATGTCAAACATAATGCCTGATTTAGTGTAATTACCACAAGCTTGGACCCTCTCCGTTCTAAAAGTGATGGGCCAAATTTTTTGGTCTTGAACCTTGGACATTTCCTCTTAACTGGGCTTTTTTGTCAAAATTTCCTTGGGCTGGTCTGCCGTCACTTTGGCGGCCCATTTAAACAGAGAAGGTGAATATCATCCACATTGCCACGAACTTCGTAACGAGGGACAACAATTTTCAGGTCCAATTAGCTTCTAGTCACATAGACCCATACAATTGATTTTTTATATATATTTTTTCGGATACGAAATGTTACTTTTTCCCATAAAATCTTTACTTAATTAATAAAAAGAAATGAAACTTACTTTTTTTTTCAATCTTGGTCAAACATGCTGAAATTACTCATTTAGTCTTCATCTAGGTTTTTAGTTCTTATTATGAATGAGGGCCAGGTTTTCTATTCAGAGCCCTGCTACATTGCTCGGGCCCAATGTGGCCCTAGCAAAGTAGAAAAAACCCTTCTATTCATGTGATGAAAGATGTAGTTAAGGACACGAGTATCAATATTTTATTTTATTTGAAAACGTAAATTACGACGAGATAGTTCTTTAATATTGTATCAGGACCACACTTGCATTTAGTCAAAGCAAGTTAAGAACAATGGAGCTCACTAACGTTACTATATCACTTGTTTCATTTACTTTACTCCGTATATATAAAAACAAATATTGTGTAACCAAATATTATCTTGAGATTTGCATATAGTACATCAACCTAAAGAATGATTTTAATTCGATGAACGGCTTCATATTTCATTTTTGCAGAGAGAGTTTTTGAATATCTTTTGTCCTCGTCAAAGCATCTTTCGCAAAGTTACTTTTTCACATCATCAAGTTTGACTTAAATTGTGGCTCCTAGGTAACAGTTGGAATTGATGTTGTACATACTACAAGCAAGGTCAAATTTATAGATCAAATATCATCGTTGACTAATTGACCATCGTAGTCCAATATTATCGAGTTACTTTTATTAGCTATTAGGAATCTTGGGTAGGACCCCACATGATTTCCGTAAATTTGAAATGAGATATTTTCTTGAAAGCGAAGATTCGATTCGATGAATATTTGAAAAAAGTTACCATTGTGATAACTAATCGTACAACTATAACAAAAGAAAATTAAAAATTAAAAGATCAATTTACTACTCAGAACAATAAATTCAGACTGATGCTATTTTCGCCTTCGGAGAAGATAAGTAATTTGCATGGACCGCCAAATCTGAAATCATATCTCGAGCAATGGAATGGCCTCATCTGCTTCAATCAAATGAGAGCATTTACTTTAGGAAAATTATTGCACATGATGGAAACTTCGAGAATAAAGGTGAACTCAGCCTCTTGATTTTTATTTTTTATTTCTGCATTTGATATCATTAAAATTTATAGTTTCATCTTAAAATGTCAATTTCTTAGAGTAATCGTGTGGTATTCATTTTTATTCATCATCAACCGATACGTCACAAATGATAACTACCCTTAACACAACCTCGAGAGAGATGGTAACTTATTTGAAAGCAAGCTGCATTATCCTTTTTCTTTTGGCATATTTATAAACTCAAATCCAAATATAATTCTACTTGAGAATATATGCAACCTTTAAGCACATAGTACATTAAAATAGATAGAGTGGTTCTACAGTGACATGCTCAATGACATATTCAAAAACGGGAGGAACATGTGTTAACACATAATTTGACAGTTTGAAAAAAAAAATCAATCAGGTGCTGTCACCCCATCCCTGTCAAAGCCCCTGTTCAAGGAGCATTATTCATATTCAATAAGATAACTGCAAATATATCGTGTTTTTCTTCTTTCATCTATTTAAATCCAACACAACATACTGTATGCTGGACGAAGTGGGTGGACATTTAGCCCAAGTTTAGCTTGGATTAAAATTTCTAGTCCAAGTCAAAAATTAATGTTGTCTTTTTCATTCATTAGCTTTTTTAATCAAAATAAACTAAAAATTTGATTTTAATTTCTATCAAAGTGAGGCTAAAACATGACAACATGCACGGAATATCCAGCAAGATGTTATGTCAATTTAAAGTCCCTACCATTACATGTAGCTGTCCACTGGCTCGTTTTTGCAGCACTCTGCTTTTGACCAAATTGGGGTTTGACGAATCCTATGCTTTTCACGTCTCTAGTGTCGGGACAAAGGGAAAGATTTAAAAAAAAGGTGTATTTTGAGAAGAATCATTTTACAACAACATAATGATTGACATAATTCTTGACACAATGTCACATAATATTTTATCATTAAATTGTTTTAAACATAGTCAACATTCTCGTCGAATCAGCTATTGTCAATTGGAATTATGTCACTTCATTTACTTCAATTTTTTGTCAAAGTAGCAAAATCCATTTTGCGAATGTTCACGTAAAAACCAGTCCCTTTTATTTAAGCTTTGACCCTCAACTTCGCATATTCATATGATTCAACGTAACATATTCACTTCAAACAGCTTCTCTCTAAGCAAGCCGAGGTATTCCTATGTATACACGTGTCAAATGAACTCATAATTTAATCCTACCAATTGTATACAAGTTTTGATCTTGGAATTTCATTCCTTTATGTATAAATGGAAAACAAGAGAGAAAGAAGGAACAAGATGACACAATTGCATGCCGCACCTCTCCGTCTTTGGTCGTCTACTTTCAATACAGAGTGTACCTGAGACGTGCGAGCATTCCCACAACAAAA